GGAGACCAGGGAACTAGAGAGAAGGAGGTCTTGTGAGGAGCGGAGTGTGCGTGCTGGGTGGTACTTGGATATTAGGTCAGTGATGTAGTTCGGGGCAGTATGGTGGACGGCTTTGTACGTCAGTGTTAGGATTTTGAATTTGATCCGTTGCGCAATTGGAAGCCAGTGGAGGGATTGGCAGAGGGGGGGGGTGGCGGAGACAGAGCGGTTGGAAAGGTGAATGAGTCTGGCAGCCGTGTTCAGGATGGACTGGAGAGGGGATAGCCAGCGGCGAGGCAGGCCAGTGAGGAGGGAGTTGCAGTAGTCGAGTCGTGATATGATGAGGGAGTGGATGAGCTGTTTAGTGGTTTCTGGGGTAAGGAACGTGCGGATTTTGGCGATGTTGCGGAGGTGGAGTCTGCACGAGTTTGTTAAAGATTGGACTTGGGGCTGGAAGGATAGGTTGGAGTCCAGAATGACACCCAGTACTCTGGCCTGCAGGGCGGGTTTGATGGTAGCGTTGTTGGATTGTGACGGAGAAATCAGTGGGGGGTGGTGTCCGGGCTGGGGGGAAGACAAGAAACTCGGTTTTGGAGAGGTTCAATTTAAGGAAGTGGAGCGACATCCAGTCTGATATGTCGCTCAGTAGGTGTGTGATTCGGGCTGAGACCAAGGGGGTGAGGTGGGGGGTTGAGAGATAGATTTGTGTGTCGTCGGCATAGAGGTGGTAGTTGAAGCCGTGAGAGTGTATGTTGGCCAAGGGAGGAGGTATAGATGGAGAAGAGAAGGGGCCCGAGGACAGAGCCTTGAGGGACCCCAACAGAGAGGGGGAGTGAGGGGGAGGTGGTAGCATTATAGGTAACGCTGAAGGAGCGTTGTGACAGGTAGGATGAGAGCCAGCCTCTGCCTTTGGGAGTCATGCGTGTAACTGTCAATCCTGCAATGCCTCATGGGACTTGTAGTTTGCCAACAGCTGGAGGGGCCGCCAGCTTGACACCCGTGTTCTGGGTAATGACACAAAAGGGCTGGATTTTGTTGTTCAGAGGTCCGAGGCATGCCTACGGCTACTCTGGCTTCCGATCATTGGAATTGATCTAAAACCATTATTATTATACAGTATTTATATAGCGCCAACAGTTCGCTCAGCGCTGTACATTACAATGGGAGACAATACATGAGACAGTACAATAACAATACAATGCGATACACGAGGGGTTAGAGGGCCCTGCTCTTTTGAGCTTACAATCTAGGACTGTCAGTATACCACATTGGCTCCTTTTGGTTGTATCACCTCTTCCAAAGAATTTGCATTCTTCTGGATTGTGGAAGCTGGTTGAGTGGACCAAAGGCTTTAGTAAGTTCTGATTTACCTCGTGTGACTGTGGAGTTGACTTTAGTTACTTTAACATAATAAAAACCTTTCCCTTATCTTTTACTGTGTTTTTAATTGTATTATTTTTCCGTGGCTCTATAAACATTGTAGGCACTGTATTTAATTTTCCAATTTTAGGGCTGCAGTTCTGTAGTAGACAGGAGGTTGGGGATAGTCGATGCTGGATAGTCGATGCTGTACGGTACTTAGATCTTTCTGTGATGGAAATTTAAGGTTTTCTACCATGATGTTGCTTGCTATCCTTGCAGCACTAGTAGGCTACTCTGTGGAAAAGTTGAAAAAAACCTGTACTGAGAGAAATATAGGGGGAGATTTACTAAAACTGGAGCGTGCAAAATCTGGTGCATCCATGCATAGAAACCAATCCGCTTCCAGGATTTATTGTTAAACTTTAATTAACCTCCCTGGCGGTATTCCCGAGTGTAGCTCAGGGTAAAATTTGAGTACCAAGAGCGGTAACCCCGAGCTACACTCGGGCTTACCATGCGGCGTTGCTCAGGGAGTACCTGCAGCGCCTTACCTTGTCCTTCGCTCCCACGATGTGTCCCCTGCAGCGTCCCCAGCCATCTCCTCCGGCCGATGCCGGGCATCCGGCTTCCGTGTTCCGCTCCCTGTGACGTCGGGACGTACGGGCGCCAGAACCGGCGGCAAATTTGGAATTTTTAAAAAATGTAATTTTTTTTTAAATGATTATTCTATAGTAAAACATTGCTATTTCAATGCATTTCACATACATTTTGTCCCTAGTGCTTTGTCCTGCGCCCTGCCTGCATTTTGACTGTTCTTTCTGCCTGGAAACTTAAGAAAAGTCCATGGCGTCCAAAAAAGCGTCCCTTTACGTCAAAAGCGGTTTTAGACCGGCTAGAGAACAGCGATAGTAAATCAGAACCACTTGCAGAATTGAGTGATAATGATTCGTGGGGGAAATTCCTCATCAGACACTGAAAACGATTTTGCGACTTTGCTCAGCGATGTGCGAATTTGCCTCTGTATTTCAAATTTCAGTGTTTTTGGTTTGATTATATTATTGAATTAAATATATTATTATTATATTATTTTTTATGATTATTTATTAAATTATAATTTATGATTTCGTGTTTCAAATTTTATCATACCCGGGATGTTTACTAGACTCTTGTTCGGACAGATTTCAGTGAGTTATTCCTAAAAATTACAGCCTACAATAAAAAACTACATATTTCCATGCAAAAAAATGGTACCGCTTTCAGCACAAAAAAATCGGAAATAATCATACCGCTAAGGAGGTTAAACAAACTGAAGTTTACTGAACTGAACTGATTGTTTACTATGCACAACTGCTCCAGTTTCTTAATATTCCAGTTTTAGTAAATCTCCCCCATAGTTACAGATCCTCTCAGTTTACACGTGAAATAATTAAACCTGACCTACTAATAATTTTCTAAATCTGCATAAGTTCCTGACATGTCACAACGTACCTAACAGTATAAACTGTCCCTGAGCTCTGTTTATGTGACCAGTCTGATTAGATGTCATCGGTCTGCTGCTGGCAGGAGGAAGTATTTCTTCAGTCTCCTCTAATCCAGTGATCACTATGACTGCATATTTGTAGAAAGTTACCACCAAGAACTGCACAGGCACCATGATTTACTTGACACTGTCATGTGATCCAGAATAGCAGTCCAGGATGTAGATGGTGACCATGGCTGATGCCTAAACAAAGATATTACTGTCCTTCTGAAGATAAAGCAGATGAAGCCTTTGTCCTAGGGGAGTATTGGTATCCATGTGAGAAGTAATAGGTACCTGAATGTGTTAAGCTGGCCATACATTATACAATTTCCGTGTTCAATTTGGTTTAGTAGTTCAAGGGGCCTTGCCTGATTGTGTACAAATTGTTTAGGTTTGACTTCATTTTCTATGGTTTTGGTAAATCTAGTGGAAAATTGTTCAACAAAATGTTACAATGTATGGCCAGCCTTAAACTTGCACATTCTTTAGCATACATGTTCTAAAACTCGTCCATGTGTGGCCATGCATCCTAAACTTGGCATACCCTAGCAAGTCTCACTCGGTGTAAAGCAATGTTTAACCTTTTTTATGTACTATAGGAAGCTGTGCTGCTTGCTGCATGTGACACATTGGAGGCATTGGTCATGGCACATTTTGAAGAGAAAGTTCCCTGTGCTGATTATTGATGGCTTTCTAAGTAGAAGGAAAGTCATCATGGATTATTTCAGTGATTTCAGCAGATCCTAATTTTAAATTATATCTAACTTTCCATCAGTGCAAGTTTATTAAACATGATACAACATTCTGTAGTTCCCTTTAAAAATGCCGCTCTGTATCTGATCCTCTGTGTAGAAGCAGCACTTCTGATGCTACTGAAGGGTGTGGACCTCAGGCGGCTAGAGAACTGTCAATGGCATGAACTTCACGCTCTGTTGTGAACAGCAGTTGCCGCACCATGTTTAACAGATGTAGCAGCTTGACTTGGTCCCAGTACACAGAGCCCAGTCTGTGACGAGCATCAGCAGCTGCCTACATTTTTAGGATAGCGAGGAAAATGCAGCAATGTCGATGTCCAGTCTATAAGAAGAGACACAGATGTCACATAGCTGCCCTATTATGACCGTAATTGCATTATAAACCTGAGTTTAGTCTATTACTTTAGTGCTTATTGACTTATATCAGCCTATATTATATAATTAACTGCTCCGTGTGAGACACTATCACAACAACCCCCGTGGGGTGTGTGTATATTTATATTTATTATGTGTGTGTGTGTATATGTATATATATATATATATATATATATATATATATATATATATATATATATATATATATATATATATATATATATATATATATATATATATATATATGTATGTGTGTGTATATATGTATGTGTGTTTGTGTGTGTGTGTGTATGTATGTATGTATGTATGTGTATGTGTATATATATATATATATATATATATATATATGTGTAAACTTTTTTTTTCCCGGCTTTTTAATTTTATTTAAGGTACTTGTATAGCACGGTCAATTTACGCAGCGCATTACATATGTATAGTGCATTCACATCAGTCTCTAACCCTCAAGGGGCATACAATCTAAGGTCCCTAACTTACATTCATACATACACATACTAGGGCCAATTTAGACAGGAGCCAATTAACCTACCAGCATGTCTTTTGGAGTGTGGAAGAAAACCGGAGTACCCAGAGGAAACCCACGCAGGCACAGGGTTAACATACATATACACATTTTTCCCATTTATTTAAAGCAAAACCTTTTTCCCAGGAGGTTGTCTGGGGTGCACAAATGGTTGTGGTTTGAGGTCATAGGTTAGGCTGAAGAAATGTCTAAGCTGACTCTAATACTGCACTGTGACGTGTCTCTGGAAGATCTCCTTGGGGTAAAATCCTGGTTTAACAGAATATCATACTCCCCCCATTATGGTTTACAGAAATAAGAACCTCATGCTGCTCACCTTTTTAATGCTTTTGCAATGATTCTCCTTGACCACCTTTTTGGCCGCCATGTCAGTTGTACTTCACTATACAGTTTTTGCACATGATGAACTTTTGGGCCAATAAATATGAATCTGAAATAAACTGAATTCTTTGTTCTTGTTTCACAGATTTTGGCACAGAAAGCAAGAAGTGGAAAACTGTTACCAGAAGAGTATCAAGGAGGCTCATTCAGGTATGAAGAAACATCTCAGATACACATGAAGTGGGTCCAAGAAGAGCAGAGACTATCATTAGATTTAAGGAGACCTCATTTCCAATAATTTGCGTGTCAGCAATGTCTCCTGCTTTCAGTAAATGTCATTGTTATAAGACCGAGTACTTCAAAATATTTTAAAGGTATACCCAAACATAGTTAGATAATGGTAAACCAGTTTATTTTGGGCTCTTAAAAAGTTTTTCTCTTGCTTTCCCATATATTTAAATTGCTTCTGTGTGGGTTCAGAGAGGAGTACCTCAAATGAGTCATACAAACGCTGAGTTTGGTTCCAGTCTTTAGTAGAGTCTAAAGTAGTCTTTGGTAGATGGCAAAATTCATCCTACGCATTTCAGGGGATGTGGCTTCCCCTTCTTCAGGGGTCATGTATAGCTGTAGCTTACCACAAACGTTGCACTATGACAGTATCGAAACTTGAAAATGTTTTTTTCTCAGTTACACTGTCACTTATATTCCCCATGTAAGCGTCACTGACATTTTGTGCAACTAAAACCACGCTTGACCCTGAAGAAGGAAAGGGGGGGGGGGGTGTCAAATTCCTCAATACGTTTTGGATGTAATATTTTACTGCTTACCAATAAAGTCTGGAATCAAACCATGCGTTTGCACGTCTTTTACTTTTGTTGCTCCTCACCGCAACCACACAAAAGCCTTGTTCATCTTGAAAACCAACACCACCCGACGAACCTCCAAGCAGTCCTGGACCCTAACATAGTCCCACTAAATACAGCCAGGAGGGATCCACAAAGTTGGGTCTCCACCAGTCGAGTTAAAACATATTTATAAATCTATCCAGCACTGCCATTGACACCCACATATATTTGCACAGCACCCTCTTTAAAGTGATTGTGAAGCTTTACCTTTTTAAAATTAAAATATGAAACATCTCATACTTACCTGCTGTGTGCAATGGTTTAGCACAGAGCAGCCTCGATCCTCCTCTACTTGGGTCCCCCTCTGGTTTTTCTGGCTCCTCCCTTCAGCGAGTGCCCCCATAAGAAGCCACTTCCTATGGGGACACTCATGCAGGGTCACTCCTGAGCCCCGCTGCATGCGTCCATAAACAGACAACAGGACTTGGCCCCGTCCCCTGCTCCCTCATCAGAGTTTGATTGACAGCAGCAGGAGCCAACGGATCCTGCTGTTATCGATCTGCCCTGTGAGGGGAGAGAGCTGCTTCTCTTGGGCACAGCGCTGGATTGCGATGGGTCTTAGGTACGTATAGGGGGAGTGGGGCGAATGCATTAAGGTAAAAAAACCTTAAGGCTTTAAAACCACTTTAACTCCATCTGGCCTTAAGAGTTGTCTGCTATAGCTGAACCTAAAAAATATATTCTGTTTAGCAGTGGTTGACTGGAAACTTGAGCTGTAAAGAGAGTGGTGGCTATTCTTCCATTTCTTTGTAAGTTAAAAGCCTGTGAACCCTTACAGACCTGTAATAGGTCAAAGAGGAAGTGATTTTATAGCTTTAGATGCTTTAAACTCTGCTGTTAATTGGCTGCTGAGCAGAGCCAGCTGACATCTGGCTGATGATAAAAGTAATGATTTCCAGGCATGCAATGTATCTTGTCACTGCTGCATTTACTTTGCATATATTCAGGTAATTTACATTAGTAGTAACTGCTGCTCATTTTAAAAGCAACATGTTATAAACACGAAATCCCACTTAAAATGTATCCGTCCACCCAAAAACTGGTATATCAAGTTTTTATTAACTTTAAAATACAGATGCTGGATGCTCAAATGTTGTTTATGTTGAATGCGGGATGAAATGTGTTTTTTTTTTGTTTTTTTCATCATTAACCTCTTTTTCGTTCTGTAGTATCTCCAATCTTGGCATGTTTGGGATTACTGGATTCAGCGCAGTAATAAACCCTCCACAGTCCTGCATCCTGGCGGTTGGACGCTCCCGAACTGAGCTTGCCATGGCAGAAGATGATGAAGGCAAGCCCCAAATCTGTCAGAAAGAGTTGATGAGCGTTACGCTGTCTAGTGATGGTCGCCTGGTGGACGATGAATTGGCGTCTATGTTCCTGGATCGGTTCCGAGCCAACTTGGAGAACCCAATCAGATGTGCCCTAGTGTGAATGAATGTATATTGTACCTCGTATGGAAAATGTTACAGAATTACAATAACTACAAGCGAACAAATTGTGCCAGGTGGATTAATAAAGCAAACTAACTTATTGGAAATGGCTCACTGTGAAATGTTATTTTTCTGTTTTGTTTAGAATAGAAAATGACTATTTAATTGGCTTGATGAAAATTAAAGCAAATATATTGATTAGAGGCCGGCTATATCACCTATCCATTTTCTAGATACCAATGACATCATTGACAGAACATCCTACTCATTCACTAGAAACTGGTGACATCACTAATAGTGCAGCCTATCCATTTATTTGAGAACACTGACATCACTAACCATGCAGTCTATACTTTATCATATTTCCTAGAAACACAATAGAAGACCAGGGTGACCCTTAAAAGTATCATTATATCAATCTTTGAAATAACCTTTAATAGTGCTCACCTTTTCATTTGGTTTAGATAACACATAAGTGTGATCATGGTAATTAGTTTATAGAGAAACTTCTAAAACTGGGAGTAAATTCCTCCTCTTTACCCATTGTTAACAAGGTATCTTCTATGTGTAGCGATACCCACGTAGGAGCTAGCAGTTAGGTCCCTGAAGTCTATTCCCAAAGTCTGCCCTGCAGCCAGGCATACAAACACAGCTTCTCTTTGGCTCAGTAAACAGTCCAGGGACATTTTTATTTTTGTGGGGTTTTTTTATTTTTAGGGATGGGGATGAGTAGGATGCTCCAAAAAGAACTGATGAGGGCACTAGCTTTCTTCTGCAGGACTGTAAGCACAATCCTTGTAGGGGCCAGTAGTAGACTTGGCTCAGATGAAGATGAAGGCACAAACTTCCTTTTTTTTTTTTAAGCCACTTGAGTATAGTCCCTTTTAAACACCGAACGAGATGGATGGAGTTCTTCAGGATACCAGCCAGTATCTCTTTAGCACACACAGCTGAAGTCTCTAGCACCACAGGGGTGGTAGCAGCCCACAGTCTCCAGGAATTTTCACACCAGTCTGTACTCACAAATTATTATTATACAGTATTTATAAAGCGCCAATGGTTCGCTCAGCGCTGTACATTACAAAGGGGGACAGAACATGTGACAGAACAATACCAATACAATGCAAAACATGAGGGGATCGAAGGCCCTGCTCTTTCGAGCTTACAATCTAGGAGGGAGGGGATGGTGGCACAGGAGGAGATAGCTGTGGGGGATGGAGTGGTAGGAAGAGTGGAGGAGGTCAGCAAGTTAGCAGGGGGTAGGGTAGGCTTCCCTGAAGAGGTGGGTTTTCAGGGTGCGCCTAGAGGAGAGTAGGTGATAATCTGATGGGTTGGGGCAGGGAGTTCCAGAGGATGGGTGACACCCTGGAGAAGTGCTGGAGGTGGGCATGGGAGAAGGAGACCAGGGAACTAGAGAGAAGGAGGTCTTGTGAGGAGCGGAGTGTGCGTGCTGGGCGGTACTTGGATATTAGGTCAGTGATCTAGTACGGGGCAGTATGGTGGATGGCTTTGTACGTCAGTGTTAGGATTTTGAATTTGATCCGTTGCGCAATCGGAAGCCAGTGGAGGGATTGGCAGAGGGGGGTGGCGGAGATGGAGCGGTTGGAAAGGTGAATGAGTCTGGCAGCCGTATTCAGGATCGACTGAAGCGGGGATAGCCTGTGGTGAGCCAGGCCAGTGAGGAGGGAGTTGCAGTAATCGAGTCGTGATATGATGAGGGAGTGGATGAGCTGTTTAGTGGTTTCTGGGGTTAGGAACGTGCGTATTTTGGCGATGTTGCGGAGGTGGAGTCTGCATGAGTTTGTTAAAGATTGGACTTGGGGCTGGAAGGATGTCTTCAGATGAATGGATGCCTCCTTTCAAAGTCCTTCAGACACCTCCACCAGTGACCTCAAACCAGACCCTCATATGAGTCTGTCAGCTTTCAGGCCTCTCAGCTGAGGCCTCATGAACAGCAAGCACATGGCAAGACAGCAGGCCCTCTAGGCTGTACTTCCCCAGGACGAGACTAGAATGCCCCAGGTCTCAGACTATTTATACCCATTTCCCAGCTGACACCTGTGTAGGGCCCACCAAGATTGGCTGGGACAGTATAAATATTCATCCTGTCCATTTACATTACTCCACACCTATGTTCCACAACTATCCAGGAGGGTTTGGAGACTTAAAGTGAGAGCAATTAAATCTGCAGCCTATGGGCTAGTTCACACCACATGTAGTCCAGTGCATTTTTTTCTGCATCAAAAACACATGGAAAGTAGGTTATATGGTTTCTAATGGCATAGTTCACACCAGTGCAGTCAGTTCCAGGACGTTCCAGTTCCAGAAAAAAAAGAGTAGAACATGCTGCATTTTTCCTGCACTGGACTGTACTAGAACGTGATAAAAACACACTGGAATACAACAAAAATGCACCAGACCCCAGTACAGTGGAAAAAAGTATCTGGAATGAATCCAAAAACGCATCGGAACGGGCGGACTGACCATTTGTAAAACTCGGGCACCGCCCGAGGGCCGGGGTCAGTTGGGGGCCCCATGAGATGCTATTGCCCCATGATGCGTTACCTACATGGCCATTCGCTCGTTTTCCCAATAGTCATACTTGGAGGCTATTCTGTTTTATTCAGCGATATTGCCATCCACATGTAGCACCCTTCTAACTAGGAGTAGATCGATTTAGTTCTGGCTCACTGTATCCAGTGGAGCTATGTTTCTGTTAGGTAAATTTAGGTGGTCTCACTGTAATCAGTGTGGCTGCAGTTCTGGGTAAGGAAAATTTCGTTCCAGCTCACTGTAGCCAGTGCAGCTGCATGAGTTTGTTCTATGTCTCACAAAAACACACTCCAGATCTGTTCTGTTTCTGCACATGCATTTTTAATGCATTCCGATGCAGGGGCGGACTGACAACTCATGGGGCCCCTGGGCAATAGGGGATCATGGGGCCCCTGTGTCCTTGCCCAAACTCAAAAAAGCCTATGAAAAAGGTACCAGGGGCATCTCATGGGGCCCCCTACTGACCCCGAGCCCTCGGGCAGTGCCCGAGTTTCCAAATGGTCAGTCTGCCCCTGGTCCCATATGAGCAATGAACACCTGACAGGGGTTCTAACTACTCACCACTCTATCCTATGTAATAGAATTTTTGGATATACTGTAAAGTACTTATTTCTAAATGGCCAATGTTTTAGCCAAGTCCTCAGTCTTTGTGTTGGAGGAAAGGCTCGCTGTCGAATTCATTATGGAGGGAGAACTTTAATTTTGCTGCCCTTTGCACTTCAACTCTCTCTGATCTGATTTAACCAACTCGTTGCTGAAGAATGTCAGATGCCTGTGTATAATAAACCAATGAAATTCTGCATTGAGTTAATAAAGTAGCTGTCCTGCTTGGTACTACAGCAGTGTCTCCTCCATCACCAACTAGTGTGCTGACCTAAAATGTGTATGCCAGGCGGAGTGCCAGCCCCTGTATCTGCCTGACTCAATGGATCTCTTGTATTGCACTGAAGCATGGCCTGTTTGTGGCAGTTGGCCAGCCTTTTCCTGTTGTATCTCTGAGCTGCTGTTGTATGTTGATTGCTGTCCTTTGTATCTGTTCCTAGGTGAACCAATCACACTTATCCAGTGCAGCTTCCCAGGCTTAAAGCTGAACACCAGGCAACAGCTAATGACACAGATGAATACACAAAAAGGAGTTGTATTAGCTTCTAAGGATGTGTATCTCTATCCATCCAGTCCTGAGGTTTACACAGCTCTACCACCCACAGAGGTCTATCTGGCAGGCCAGGAGACTTGCATTTTGTTTTGCTGCAGGTAAGCAATACTTACTTGCCTTGTCCTTCCCCCAGCCTGTGACTGGACAGTAAAAGGAGAAGCAGCAGTCTGATGAGCTCATCTCTGTCCTGCTCTTCTCCTATAAGTAGTCCTTGTTAGCACATGAGAATAACTGATTGGCTCCTTGTGCAGCTTCTCCCTCTTTCAGTCTGAGCTCTACTGTACAGAGGGGACTCCAAGAGGCAAATACGTGGTCCAAATCAGGTACTTACACTGCTTGCAATAAAAAAAATTAATATGAGTGAGCTGTATTATGCTGGAAAGATGGAAAACTGCTTGCTTATAGGAATCAATGGTGCCCTGGAAAGATGGGCCAACAAGCCACACAGTAAAGATCGATGGAATGGGAGGCACTGTAAGTATTACAGCAGACAGTATAGTAAAAACTTCAAAGCTAAAGTGAAGATCAATGGAATGGAAGGCACTGTAAGTATTACAGCAGACTGTATAGTAAACACTTCAAGGCCAAGTTCAAGCAGAGGAACTATCTAAGCTAGCCTTTTTCAACCAGAGTTGCCTTCTGGCTTCTTCGGGGTACCTTGGCAAAATGCCTATAAATTGCTCAAAAATTGTCAACAATGGATCATGCCTGCCTTTTTTTTTTTACACAAAGTCACCAGTTTTTATTGAGCAGCATTACAATCCTGGGCACCATGTGGGACAGCAGACAGCTTCCTAATAACCGATGCCATCATAGGTTGATAAGGAGGATGTTGGGCGCATTAGGACGTCCTTGTTTGTCCTTCCCCACCCCTTGTCATTATCATTGGGGTCACGTTAGCTGAATGAGGGAGAGAAACTGAGGGAGAAGAGAAATGCTGGTTACTAGTCTGTACCAGTGTGCAAAGGTATATTGCTTTGTAAAAAAAAAAAAAAAAACTTAAAATTTTGGGTGTCCTACACATTTAGTGACCACTGAATTATGTAAAACTATTAGTTTAGTTTTTTACATTTTAGAAGGGGGTGCCTTGAGATTGTGCATGATTGTCAGGCACCGCCCGGCGGGATCTCTAGTGACCCACAGAATAGGATTCCCCAGGGCGCGGAGTCTAAGCCCCAGTCTGCCTTTTCACCAGAGCCCCTGATGGTGGGGATGGACTTGGTGCGAGACTGAAACCAGGTCGCGACCCCTGAGTGCACCCAACTGTGGTAGAGGGGTCCCGCTGAGGGTAC